TTGCAACAACACCTTAGAGACATAACCAAACAGGATGTTCTAATTTTACAGGAAACCCATGCTTTAGCTAAGCTACCGGGATACCAGGCGATCAGCCTCTCAACAGGGGATATTAGAACACTAACCACTTTAGTAAGGAAGGGACTCGTAGCAATCTGCCACGACCCCCGCATCACAGAAATTGAACATATACTCGTACAACTTGCCCCTAAAAGAAAAAAATCTCCGAGCATATTTATTCTGAAATTGTACAGCAATCCCTCACGCATACGACAACGCTTCCTTCTTCTCTTTAAGAAGGCCGTAGATATAGCGGGACCCAATCAACTCGTCATAGGTGGAGACTTTAACGCTCCACACAGTGCTTGGGGATACGGATACACAAGAGCCAAAGGAAAAACGCTCTGGCAGGATATTCAAGAAACAGGCTTAACTCTTATCACTGACACCGACTCCCCTACGCGTATGGGAACTGGGCTTGCAAGAGACACCACTCCAGACTTAACGTTAGTTCGTAACGCGGCGACCGCTAAATGGAAAAACACATTCGATGATCTGGGGAATGATCATCGAATATTAGAAATCAGGATAGAAACCACGGCTGCCGCAAAAATTCAGAGACAGATTAGATGGACTGACTGGGATAAGTTTCGGAAAGTCAGAAACGCGAAAAAACAAGACCCTATCAGCAATATAGAAGATTGGATCAAAGATGTCAATAACGACGTCAGCGAGGCAACGCGAAGTATCACTTCAAGTCCACCCCTAGAGCAGATTGATAGCCGTCTCGCACACGTAGGAGGCCAAGCAATCACTGCAGAATAGATGGCGGAGACAGAGGCACAACAGGCCCTTGCGCAAGCGCATAGCCAAGCTGAACAAACAGATCGAAGAACATTGTAAGCACCTAAGCAAACAGCAATGGGACCAAATTTGTAATAGTCTCGATGGCCAAATGAATGCTGGTCAGACATGGCGCATGCTCAAACACCTGCTAGACCCAGATAACACCAAATCAGCACACAAGCAAACCTTGCGTAAACTGGTGTACCAGTATAACGGCAGTGAGGAGGACTTTATCGCTGAGGCTAGGAACACGTACATTCCCGCCATGCCTGTCATAGAGCACGGACCATATTCCGGAGGCCCGAACGAGCTCTTAGATGAGGAGTTTACTGTGGCTGAAATGAGGGCCGCGCTACAGAAGCTAAACACCAAATCTGCACCGGGACCAGACGGGATCACTAACAGAACACTACGGATTCTTGACGACCAAGCCATAGAGAACATCACGCAATATAATAATGAGTGCTGGACCGAGGGCACTATACCAAAACAGTGGAAAAAAGATAAAGTAATCCTCAACCCCAAGCCCGGGAAACCCCCCGATCTATCGAAATTACGCCCCATATCACTAACGTCATGTGCTGGGAAGCTGATGGAACACGCTTTTCTAGACAGAATCAACACTTATCTTGAGGAGAACGAAATCTACCCAGATTCCATGTTGGGGTTCCGCACACGGCTCTCCACGCAAGACGCCATGCTGCAAATTAAGCAGCAGATTCTAGACAACAAAAAAAGAGCTACCCGGGCGATCTTAGGGTTAGACCTTAAAAAAGCCTTCGACAAAGATCGCATACGGCTATCTTACATCAGATCTGCCGATTAAACTTAGGATCAAGAGCGTATAACTATGTCAAGGACTTCCTAACAGACAGAACGGCATCTATCGTAATGGGAAAACTGAGATCTGAGGAAAGGCTTATGGGTAGTGCTGGTACCCCGCAGGGCTCGGTCATATCGCCAATGCTGTTTAATCTCATAATGATGGGACTCCCGGCACGGCTGAACTCAATACACGGAATACATCATTCTATATATGCAGATGATATCACCATCTGGGCGTGTGAAGGTAGTGACGTAGAGATAGGGCAGAGACTACAGGAGGCCTTCACCACTATTGAGGAGTATATTGATGGTACTGGCCTCGAGTGCTCGCCAGATAAATCCGAACTCCTCCTCTATCGCCCCACGCTGAAAGGCAGACCACCCAAGGGATACAACCGGGACCGTGCTTACGAAGAGATCCAAATTCACACCAAAAACGGCAGGACTATTCCTAAAGTGCAACAAATCAGAGTCCTTGGACTCATCATCGAGTCTAAAGGTACAAACGGTGAAACCGTCAAGAGGTTAGTAACCAAAGTCACCAACGCAATACGGCTAATCAAGAGAGTCACCAACAAACACCAAGGCATGAAAGAGGCTAACGTCATCAGGCTTATTTATTCATTCGCTATAAGTCACATTATATACGTAGTGGCATATCTAAACTGGTATACAGCCGAAAAACTCAAAATCAACGCACTCATACGAAAGGCGTACAAACAAGCTTTGGGCCTTCCAGATAGCACCAGCAACGAAAAACTGTTTCGACTGGGCTTACATAACACTTTAGAGGAGCTGATAGAAGCGCAACAGATTGCCCAGTTGGAGAGGCTAGCCAGCACGCGCACAGGACGGAGTATCCTTGACAAGTTGGGGATAAATTACCATAGGCAACAAGGAAGTAAAGTGTCGGTTTTAAAGGTGATCAGGGAAAAGATCCATGTCCCCAATCTTCCCAAAAACATGTACCCCGAATTTAATCAGGGCAGAAGAGAAAGCCGCGCTAGAACTCTGCTTAAGGCCTACGGCAGAGACAAGGAAGCGTTGTTCGTAGACGCAGCGGAGTACCCTACTCACAAATCCTACGTTGCGGCAGTAATAAATACCGAACGCAAATGCGTAAACGCGTGCCCCATACGCTCGGATAATTCAGAAATCGCGGAAGAGGTGGCTATTGCACAGGCCATAATTTCCCCAAAGTGTAGGTATGTCATCAGCGACTCGCAGTCAGCAATCCGTAACTATGCACGAGGAAGAATATCTCCCGAGGCAGCCAATATACTCCTCCGCAGGGCAAATCTCATATCATCCGAGGAATTCGAAGAAAGGTATATTATATGGTTCTCAGCCCACACCCCGTGTGCGTCGCTCATTCCCAACATCAACGAGGAGGCTCACCACGTAGCGCGAGGTCTCACTTACCGCACTCGCAATGGAGCTTCACATGAGGTACTGGGAGGAGATGAGTGGTGGGAGAGGGACAGAATGTTTAGGTTCTGCGACATTATTCAATTCTACAAAAATTCGAGGCGCAGATTTCCACCACCTAGCTCCACATTAGACAGATGTCAGGAGGTTGACTGGAGGCGACTTCAAACTAGAACATTTCCCAATCCGAAGCACCTAAATCGCATCTACCCCGAACTATACCCAGATGACTCGTGTAAACTATGTAGCATGAGACGCGCCTCCCTAGAGCATATGTTATGGGAATGCACACAGATACAGGACGCCAATGCAGTCTCCCCAGAACAGCTTGGGGTGCGGTGGAGAGCCGCGCTGATCAGCTCAGATCGGACAGATCAAATATGGGCCATCCAGCGAGCACGGGAGGCGGCAGAGAGACAGGGTCTCTCCACGGCCCCTGGTGCGGCTTAGGCCCACGCCTCAATCCACTGGTTAAATAAAGTTTGCTCACTCACTCACTAGTTTGTTCAGCGTTTTGCGTGGTACGTTGCGGTCGATCGCAAAATAATCACAAGAACACAATCAATGTTCTATTATTTCGTCACTATCGCACGAGCTCTATCTGGTGTATGCGGCTGTGTAGAAGCTGTTTGAACACACACGCACACGTGTGCTGCTCAATGTGCTGTGTCTATCTCCCTTCCCTCTCCCCTCTCTATCTTTCAGCTTCCCCATCCTCCTCCCATGCGCAGGGTAGCAAACCGGCTGCCTATAGACTGGTTAAACTCTTTTTCATTCTTTTCCTCCTATTTTCTTTCCTTGGAAGACACCCGCTTTCTGTAGCGCATAACCATCGAGTTTCATACGTACATCAACAACCTTCCTTCCAGCTGAAACATCTCCGCTGTTAAAAGAACCCGTGACTGTTGGAATGCGTTGCTCATTTCATACGCACAAACCCATATCAATGGGTTTGGCATATTTTAAACATGGATGTCTGTCGCAATAATTTTTCGGCATGTATGTGCCTGCATCGCGAACGTGACAATGAGCATGTCCCGACGCTGCAGCAATATACATAGGACCCGCCAGTCAAGTAACTCGAATACCGCAGCCGAAGGACCTGAAAATCTGCGAAAAAGTCTCGTGTTTCCCCAGCTTGAAACTTGCATTTCTCCGTATCAAGCCTGTTCATGGCTATCCATACTCCAGCTAAATGTCAAGACTCATGGTCATGTCGGCTTTCCTTATGGGCGTACCACGTGTGCGCTCATGCAAGTTTTCCTCGATCACTGAGACTTTGATCTCCGATGCTCCATATCTATAGCTTTCATGCTGGTCTTCTCGCGTATCAACCTGCTCTGAGGCACAAAATTCGAGTGGCCAAGCGATTGCGCTGAAATCATTTGTGAAGGAAGCTCGAATACTTTGCACGATTTTTTTTCGTTTCAATGTGCTGATAGAACGGCAGCTGTAGGGCACCGCTGTTCTGTGAGCCCGAATTCCTCCACATCTTAGCACCTAATTAATCGTCTGAGATCATTGAGCTACAGTAACTTTTGTATCTTGAGTGCATCAGGCCACCAATTTGCTGTTTACCTGTTCAGCCAGGCCTCAGTTAAAAGGCAAAATTTAAATACTTCTTAATTTTACTATGCTTATATGTGGCACGTAAGGATTTTTTATCCACGTTGCGATTCACGACCACCAAATCATTCCCTGATTGAAAACTCATAAGTGCGCAGGTGCGTATTGGCCATTCTTGTTCTTTGTCTGCAAAAATAGCCTAAATATAAATGTAATTTGGTGAATAGTTTTACTATACTTTCTTGCGATAATAATAGTTCTCATCTGCAAGAAAAGTGCGTTATACAGAAAAAAAAATTACATGCATTTTCGCGCTACAACTCAGAAAAACTCACCTTGTTCGCAAAAACTGGGAAATAACACCAATTTTTTTGTGCTACAGTATGCCCATATGCTGACCTAACCTACAACATTAGAGAAAGGTCTGCAGTTAGTACGCTGGAATTTTCCGCAAGCCCATTTGTCTGTATCGAAGAGACAACAATAACTATTCATGAATTAATTCATAATTTTTATTGCTTTGTATGGCACTTCTACATTGTTACGAATGTGTGAGTTCATCTATATTATACAACGCGTTGAAAATTGATCACTGAAAACTATTTCGTGCGCGCCAGCACTGTGCTTCGAAGAAACTACGTCTGTAGATGGTGATAAAGTGAATGCTTCCAACGTTTACGAATGTCACACCTTTCAAATTTCCACCAAATGAAACCATTATTGTTTCGTTAAGAAGGGGACATTAATTAAGTCAATACACCAAATGCACTAAGTAGTGAAATTAGATAATAGGCAGTATTTTAGTAAAAATGTGTCACTTTCCCTCCCCTTTAAAAATATCAAGCAACTCAATGGCGACACGAGCACAACTACACTCTACAATAGACACATTAAGGACTTCAAGGCGCTTTCACATGGGTTAGAAAAGGTTGAATCTTGTCTGCCTTCAAATTCCTAGAAATGAAGCACGTGTTACGATCGCTGCAGACGTCGCTTCATTTCAGAGTTCATAGCATGGAACATACATGATAATAGGTGGTATCAGTTGCATTGTAGGACGTCAACTGGGTTCGCACTATAGAGTGTTTAACACCCCGCCCTATTTTAAAGAAGTACTCACGCAACCCCCTGCTACCTCTGATCCCCATATATTTGTGGTGTGGTGAAGGCCTCCCTAGCGCTATGTCACGAACAACGCGAGAAAACAGCAGTCATCACTCCTACTCCCTGGCTTAGTTCAACCTGCTTAAGAACGTAGTCGAAAAACTATTTGCGAGTCGTGTTAACTATTACATACTGAGATCAAAGAATGTGAATGATGCCTTTCACAAGCCACCATATTCTTGCATCTCATTTACAGATTATATTGGCTTTCAAAAGGCCGGATTCGCACTATTTAATCTCAGTGCTTAACTCACACCTACTAGGTCGCCTGAGTTGACGGCCACATTTTCGGTGAAGCTGAAAATGCTAGACGGCCGTACACTTAGAAATAAAAGCACATTCTAGAACCACAGGAGCTCGAAATTTCCGAAGCCACCCCCGCCCCCTAAACAGCGTCTCTCATAATCTTATCGTGGTTTCGAAGCGTTGCGCCTCCGCAATTATTACCATTCTGTGAAGTGAATCTGGCGAAGCTGCTAGTGGCCTCGTCATGGCCTGTTAGTATTAGAACGTAATGCTTGTAAAATATTACAGTTGAGTCCTTATGCCCATCGTTTTTCCTACTATTGATACAGAAAAGGAGCATTCATCACCGTGCTGGATCGCGCTATTTTCGTTATCCTCCGCTTCACTTCCTGAACACGTGCAACGAGAACACGCTTTTTCGACGCGCGATTTTTTTCCGGAGTAGAAGGCAAACCCTGGATAGCCGAGAGAACGCGTACAAGGAGGTAAAATAAAAATCATATAAAGATAAAAAGATAGAAAAGAAAAAATCGGCAGAGGACACGTACAGTGCGAATCGATAATATGCGAAGCACGAATGAGTAAGGTTGATATGTCACTTTAAAATGAGCAATACGTTACGATGTGGAGGTAAATGATGCTGTACGTGTCATTACTATTGTGTTTGAATGCGTCATTTATTTTCGGAAGCTATTCACACCACGTCATACCACATTTAGTGTACGTGGAGCTAGCAAAACGACCGCGAGCATGCTATGAGCGCGCTATGTTGTCATGATCTTGCATGACAAGCCTCTCAGGATTATCATGTTTGCACCAGTCATATATGTCGTCGTCCAACGACGTCCCGTAACACCAAATTTAGTATATACGGAGCTAGCGAAACAGCTGCACGTGCATCACGAAGGGCCCAATATACTCCAATGTAGCGTTAATGCGCGCGCACGCTGGGCACAGCGACGCAACGTTAGCAAAACCCGAGCACTCTATAATCTAACGCCAGGCGCGACCAGCATCCGTCAGCGTGGCCCGAAGACAACTGGTGCGAAATGTGACAAGCTGCATTTCGCGCCGATGCGTTACCCAGGCAACATTGCATCTCCCTCTTTGCGTGATACCGCGCGCGCTTGACGCGCATGCGTCAAAGCAACGCAGCGCGGCGTGCGCCCGCGAGTATATATATGGCAGGACCGGCGCCTGACGTGGCAACGCCGGCGCGACGTGACGAATTGAACGCCAGCGAGCACACGCACCACGTCCCGTCAAAATGTGGAATGCAAAAAACTGTGGCATGTAGTCATGTTCTCACATGACACGCTTCGTATGATTATCATGTTTGCACCAGTCACATACCTTCGTCATCCATTGGCATCACGTAATACCAAATTTGGCATATGTGAAACTAGCGAAACGACCACGAGCGCATCATTAGTGTGGCATGTAGTGATGTTGTTACATAACACACATGTCGTGATTATCATGTTTGGATGTTTCATTTACCTATGTCGTCCATTCGCGCAGCGTAATACCGAGTTTGGTGCATGTGAAGCTAGTGAAACGGCCGCGAGCGCATCGTGAGCGTGGCATGTAGTCATGTTGTTACATGGCACGCATGTCATGATTATTATGTTTACACCAGTCACAAGCCTTCGTTATTCATTCACGTACTGTAATACCAAAATTAGTATATGCGACGCTAGCAAAACGGCCGCGAGCGCATAATGAGCGTGTCCTGTTGTCATGTTGTTGCATGACACGCATGTCATGATTTTCATGTTGGGTCTGTCGCTTGTGTTCGCCATGCAATCATGCTATACCACACCAGTTTTGCAACATGTCATTTGAACGAAACCACCGCAAGAGCTGCAGGACCATGGATTGTGAATCTTGACATTCATGCCATACATGTCATAATTTTCACGTTGTGGCTGGTCAAATATGTTCTTCATAGAGTCATGTTACGCCATACCAATTTTGTTATCGATACCATTATTGAAACGGCCATGAGAGCTAAAAGTCGTAGGCGGCTAGATAGATAGATAGATAGATAGATAGATAGATAGATAGATAGATAGATAGATAGATAGATAGATAGATAGATAGATAGATAGATAGATAGATAGATAGATAGATAGATAGATAGATAGATAGATAGACAGCAGACAGGACAGACAGACAGACAGACAGACAGACAGACAGATAGATAGATAGATAGATAGATAGATAGATAAAGATAGATAGATAGATAGATAGATAGATAGATATAGATAGATAGATAGATAGATAGATAGATAGATAGATAGATAGATAGATAGATAGATAGATAGATAGATAGATAGATAGATAGATAGACAGACAGACAGACAGACAGACAGACAGACAGACAGACAGACAGACAGACAGACAGATAGATAGATAGATAGATAGATAGATAGATAGATAGATAGATAGATAGATAGATAGATAGATAGATAGATAGATAGATAGATAGATAGATAGATAGATAGATAGATAGATAGATAGATAGATAGATAGATAGATAGATAGATAGATAGATATGCTCAAAGTCACCAAAATTTGCTAAGAAATGCTTAGGATTTAAAAAAGAGATAAAGAGACAAAGTCGCTCGCTGTCCCTTGGCTTCTTAGCACAAATATTTGTTGCGGAACGCCAGTGTTTTAAAAGTAGCACCTCTATACAAACGGTGCCGCGAGACGGTCAGCAAAACTTTTAATGACGAAAATAGAACATAGAAAATATACATGATAATGAGTTATAGCATTTTCGCCCCTATCGAAAAGGCAGGTGCCGCAGCCGGGATTTGATCCCGGAACCTGCGGGTCAGCAGCCGAGTACCTTTGCCACTATAGAGAACAGCAGTGGGACCGTACGGGCGTTCGTACAATCCGTGCCTTCCCCATTTTTAAGTTGGTAGTGCAGTAGCAGGCTCGGTGGCAAGGCTGGGAAGGCATGAACAATGCTGTAGCCAATGGTGACAGTTATCGTTTTTCGTGGCGAAGAAATTTTTGTTTCACCTAGCCATGAACAGTTTTTGATGCGATAAACAAAGTGAAGTAATGAATAGAGTGACTGGCGCAGCCCCCCCCCCCCCAAAAAAAAAAAACGTCCATTATTGCAACCATACCGGCGCTCATGCACGAAACTCGGCTTTCCTTACTTAACTTCAGGGCTTACGTGATTGCTCTTCAAACTCTTCAAAATTTACTAGGAAAGAATTATGAGATTTTATATACAAGTGAATTGGTAGAATAAATACTAAACCGGCACGCAGGGGACCCGGTTTCGAATGCTATTGTGTCATTGGTATTTTTTACAGAGTTTTGGTTTTATTTAATGTGATAGTGGTTACGAACACCGGCGGTGTTGGCGGCGGACAACTGCGGCACCGCGCGTGAATCGTGTTCTGATCTCGTAAAGCGTTCGCTGTAAAAGATGCAGCAACCTGATGTAAGCACCAACGGAAGAGCTATCAGCCGTTTACGAAAAAATAACGACTTCATCACGCCTTCACTTGGCTAGGGAAATATCGAGTCCTACCAGGCCTAATATTTATCGAAGTGAAGCACTCATTGTGATCATTGCATACGCACTTTTATTTCTTCCCTTATAGAGTGACTAATGTCCGAAAGCAACTGGTATCGGTTGCGAAGGAGAGCATTGCCGTCTCCGCCCACGACACGAGTTATAATCCTTGAGTGCGTTCGTGCTGATCGATTGCATCAAGTCTTATTTTAGCATATTACGTGTTTCACCGCCGGTTTCCTTTAAGCGCGATGGAGTCGTGATAGTGGTTCGCTTAGCGCTGTGTTGTGCACAGCCCGATAAGACAGGAGTAAGGACGCGTTCACACTGAACATTCCGGCCACCTAAAGGGGGCAGAGTCCAATTTGGCGGCGGCGAGATCCGCTGAAAGGGCCCTTTTCGTGCTCATCGCTCTTGGAGTGATTTTTTCGGCGGCTGCCGCAAAATTGGT